ATTTGGAATTGCAAGTAAAGCTACTTTAGCAGTTCGGAAACCGATGCTTTGACAGTCTTCCTGAAATAATACGCACATTATTCTTAGATCCAATTCAAGCTTCAGAGCACACAGTATTGTCGGAGTGTAGTACTTAGCTATAAGTGGTCAAAGTTAGTCAACTCTAAGGACCATATTTCAAAAGTTAAATAGTTGCTTAGCGTTGAATCAATTTTCGTGCTATCGGTTGTAAGGTTTAACAAGCAGATTTGAAATACAACTTCAAAGTTTCATTCTATCGACTGGAGTACAGACAACGGGAAGAATGTTTCATGGGCAACACGGCGATTTCCAAGTGGCAAAAAGAGATCCGTCATAATCAAATTCAATTTGACAGTAATTGAAAATTTAGGACACTGGACAGCAGGATTCGAACACAAGGCAATCCCCTTATCAGCGTATATATATATATATATATATATATATATATATATATATATATATATATATATACCGATTCCGGTTTTGCCTGTCTCTGTGGCCTCAGTAGGACAGCCACAGGACGCCTGCACCTACAGAGAGACCATGAGTGGTTTGCGCTGCACCCCTCACACCAGTACGTACACACCCGCACAGACGGATGCCGTAAGATCATCACTGTGAGTTTGAATGTAGATGCGATACGTTCTACATCTATATGGATATGATCGGCCACACACTCACCTTACAGCATGCACAAGGCAGTACAACACGTGTAACGTACCCCTCGAGATACTCTCATCATTGGATTGTCTGAAATACCATATACAATAAAAAAAGAAAATAAAATACAACCAGTTGCATGTGCTGAGACCTGAAGCTAGCGGTTGACTCGGGCCGAGTCAATCGGCTACTACACTGGATCGGATCAGTCATCACGCGATAGCAAGCAATGTAACGGACCCTACCAGACGAAGGGCTCAACTACTAGGGAGAGCTAACGCGGTTATAATCCGCTCCCCCTCAAACCTAATGCAACGACTTATGAGAGTCACACTGGAGTAATACAGTAACACAATCAGAGTGAAGTAGTGTTAACCACAATGGGATGATCCGAATAGCTATCGGCACATGGAGACAGAGAACATAAAGCAGCAAATAGACGTGCCAAGTATTTGGCTGACCACAGAATATGGCAGGTCAGAAAGTAAAAGGCGAACTAGGTGCAAATAGGCAAATAAGTGATGAATCATTTTATCTAAGTTACCAGAAACCAAGCTTTAGTGTAAGTACGCGTAGCAACCTCAGCGCGGTCGAAAGCAACTCGACTGAAGAGTGCTGTGCTAACATCTCACTGACGCCATATAGGCTACGAGCGCGCCATACGGGTGTTGCGGTACTTCAGTCGAGTTGAACTCGAGCGACACTCAGTCTGAATGCGACACAGTGTCGTTCATGTGACCACCGATGCCGTATCGAAAACACTAGTGGCAACGCGCCCGCCACACATCTTATCACGCATGGAATGGGCGGGGGGGGCGGTGGGCGAGGGGGGGGGGTCCGTGTACAACCGTCGATGCGCGCTCTGGTAGAACTGCCCATGACGCAAGTTGGTGGACCAAAGATTCCAACTCTCCGAAAGAACGTGAGTGAGCCATTCCACTATCCTCTAGCGGCAGATTTCCGTATAGTTACTACTAGCTGTCTAATCGTAATGGCCAAATAACGGTCTCGTGCTAGTCTGCAAAAGTTAACATGTGCTTCACTGGTTTTACTCGCAACCGCTTCCAGCTCAGGGATTATATAGTTAGTCACAAGAACGCCCCTGGCTTATAGTCATGCGTGCAATCCTTGACTCATCCCCACCTAGCAACAATCGCGTTCGAACATAGTCGGTTGACAAAATAGGGACTCAGCACGGTCCTGAGGTCATTGTGTTCGAAGGTTGTTACTTGAAGACCGTGGCCAATCTTCTCAAAGACAACCACACGAGAACACATGGTCAGCTTCATCACCGGAAAGTCTTCGGGGGGGGGGGGGGGAGGGGGGGGGGGGGGTGAGGTCAGTAAGAAATGAGAAACAGTGCTTATCTATTCGTTTTATCAAACAACTACGCATTTCTTCTCCATGATGGGCGTTTATAGGATCAATGAAGAACGCAAGACAATTCAACAAGATGAATTGGTTGAGTATCGAGAAAAGCAGAGTGGTAAGCAACACGAGCTCAAAGTAATATCTGCCCATAGAACATAGCTAGAATTGTGTGTGTATGTAGTGTGCTCTTCTCTCCCGAATTCCGAGCGACAGACCGTTAGCCCTATGAATAAAAGGAACGTAGATCTGCGTATTTAGTCGATACAGACACAGCATACATCAATATAGCGCCTAACCTGTCACAAAGCTACAGTCAGGACGATCGGCTGCATCAAGGGCAGGGCGGGGGGGAAACTCCACTTATGCTACCGGCATATCGCAATCTAACTATATTTCATAGACCTTACACAGATTGTTGCAGGCCAATCTTCGGACGTTTCAAGCTAGAAACACTAGTAATGAATCGTGGCAGTATCGTAACCAGACATACAATACGGCTCAAGTGAAGAACTCTGAAATATATTGACATAACACTCTAAGATGGAAAACAATAAACACAATAAAGAGAAGGAAATGAGAAAAACACCGAGAAAACATCCCAACCCCACCTCTTACACCATACCTACCCCCCCCTATCTGCGGGCCCCCCACCGCGCATCCGAACCCGTCGATCCTCATCCAGCGCCGCACCCCCTCCCTCCCCCCCGTCCCCCCGACTCCCCCCCCAACCAGGTAGCCGGGCCCACCCCACGGTTTGCAAACACGCCCCATCCCCCCTTTAACTCGAGGCCATCTCTCTCAACTACGCCGCGCCGCCTTTTCCGCCCAGCCCCGCCAAACCCCTCCCCAATCCCCCCGCACCTCTCCAAGCCACCTCCTCACCCACCCGTGCACGCCTGGCCCTACCACGCACCACCACTATCTCCAGCCCGTACTCTGAAAACATCTGAACACGACTCATCCCCTACGCCCCCTCAGCACTCTTACCCCCCGCCACCCCACCAGCCCCCAAACGCGCTCCTAACCTGCCTCCCGCCAAGCCGCAGGCCTGCACTCACATCCATACCCGCCACACTACCACTCCCTCCCTTTGCCGGAACAACCCCCCCCGTACCTTGCCACTCTACCCACTGTGCACGCCCACACCCCCCACCCGCCCCCCCCCCCCCCACCCACCCCCAACAACAAACCAAACCCCGCACCCCCCCCCCCCCCCACGCCGGCTTGCCCGCCACGCTACCTGCACATGCCAGTGCGAGAACACTAAGACTCTAAGATAAGGCACCGAAGTGTTGATTTTGCGCATACATACGACAGTAAATGAATAGAGACAATATCATGATGGCGTCCTCCTCGGGAAGCTCAAATGTAGCCTGCGGCTCACGAAGGGAGTCAGAACAACGACATCAACTCGCAAGAATCGCATGCAACTACTTGTACACAAGTGCAATCTAGCGCGAAGACTCTCAAACGTGCCTGCTAGACAATTGTCAGCACGAATATGTGACGACAGTGGACGCCATAAAAGGAAATAGTGATAAAGGACAACAACTTGTGTACTGCAACTTGCTGAAGAACTGGATTCAAGGAGCGTAAGCAGAGAAAGTAATGCGGTGCAATAGAACCTCGCAACTACGGAGCGATCACTTAGAGATCCGGGTATTGAACGAAAGCACGCAGGATCGACTGTACAAACACAGTGTCACTACAGGACGATTAGCTTGCGTATGGCTGTGGGCACTGTGATATCTTTCTTGTTCATCGACTTCCTGTAGCGGCGACACGCCATATCTGGTGGGCATGGACTCCTCAGAGCGAGAGTGATCATCAGCAATAGCGCTATATTCGAAGTGATGGGTACACCATGGCCTCTACACTTTGAGCCTAAGACCATACAGGTCATTGTCAGTATCATCACGTCCTCTTCACTCTGATGGTTATGAAGCAGAGCAAGCCATATCCGAGAGAGGCCGTTCACGACATACGCAAGTGTCACAAGGAGTACGGTGATCTTCACACAGTGGTCACAACAACACGACCTTCGGGTAACAGTAACACCGGTGCTTAGTTCAGTATCACCGGACAGGCTGTTCTGCTCCAATACCAGATCAGGATAGACTGAAGGTAAACTACATTACACAGTCACATGTGCGTTAAGACTGCGACACACACAGTGGTCGAACCACGAAATAAATTACATTTTTACTTAGTCTCGTCGTGACCACGAACAGGCTATGGTCAAACACACGAGCCCAGTACGAAAGTTAAAGCACGACGGCTTAGCGCCGAGAGACCTCTGAACCTTCCGATAGGAGCGTGATGTGACGCATGATGGAGGGGAATCAACTGGCGATCATCAGCGTTGCAATGGCCGCAGTGGAGGCGGAAAACCCTGTGGGTGGGGGGGGGCGGGGGAGGACAATACCGCTACAGAGCTTGGGGGGGGGTGAAGGTCACGCGAGCGCGCGAGGGGAGAAAAGCCCATCAGAAGCTGGGAGGCTGCGCGGATGCATGCGGGAGAGAGAGCGACGAAGGACTAGAGGTGGTGAGAGGGGAGGGGGGGGATCCAAGACTCGACTGGATGGGGGGGGGGGGGGGGGGGGGTGGTCTTCTGTTTCGTAAAGATGAATTAATTATAAGGTGAATGGGGAATATCGAACGGGGGGGGGGGGGTTCAAAAAGCGCGGGGCAGTTTGCTGAGCTACACGTGCTGAACGGACGACATCGATTCGCGGTACAGCTATCCGAAGCCGTCTATTCTACAAGGCTCATGAGAAGAAAATTACGCGAGCGTGCGAAACTATGTAGTATCACAGCGTTAAGAGCAGTGACATCATGGATCGTGACTAAGACGCTTATAGCGAGTGCAGGGCAGGAAGAAAGACAGAACTCTAAACAATACGGCACAATGCAGGTCTCGCTGCGCCATCGCTATGAAACAAGCAAGTGTAAACATACCATTCCGACCTCAAGCACAGCATTGTTCATACGCGTGCTTTTCAAGAACTAGCACAACATCTCCTCAACAACGGGATGCCTGAAGCTCCAACCGAGCCAGCTACGAAATTGAAGCCCTTCATCCCTCTGTCTGACCACAGTACATCAAATTTGCGCCTACCACTTACTCGACTCGTTTCTTCGAGCAATCATCAAGCTCCGACCTACTACGCGCCCTAATTGCACGTCGCGAGTGAAGTCAGCGGGCTCGACTCTGCGCTACACAACTCTGGTGCTCGATGCCATCCGGTGTAACAGCTGGTACCGTGAAATAACCGCGTGGCATGGAGCGTCTCACTCCCGTTTTCCATGTGCGCGTAAACAAGCATCTAGTTAATACACCGTCACTCATCTGAATTACCGAGCGGATGATCCCCCTAGATGTTATACATGTCGCATTGTGACATGCGCAGCCGTAAAGATGCGGGCAGGGGACATTTCAATCTCTGATGTACGATGAGACCACCAGGATTCACTGTCTCTCTTCAGGCTAGCACGGAGTTTTGCCCGGAGCTCTTTGCGAGTTTCATTGTGTTCGATTCCGTCTAGAAT